TCTTATCATCTAATATTGTTATTGACTTCAATTCTTGTCTTCCTTTTTTGTGTATTTCTGCTTTATTAGTATTCAATAGATAGTTTTTTTCATCATATAATAGTATATATTTTATTTAGTTAATTTAGTTAATTATTCTTTATGTAGATTTTAAAGAGCTCCATTATTTTATTCTTTGAATATGTACTTAAAGAATAGTTATTTAAGTATATTAGTAGGATGGATTGTATGAAGGATTTGCCTGTTGATGTGTTGAGTCAAAAATTGGAGAACATGAATATGTGAAAATAAAGCACCGTGAAGCATTGAAGAGAATACAAAATATATAATATCAAGACTTGGTCCGAAAATGGACAGAAAGATAAGACAAAGCAACACAATGTATATAATTGAGTATTGTATTATGAGAGAGGGAGTGCAGGGGGTGCCATTGAGTTTGAAAAGTATAGGACACATCATAACAGAAGAAGCAGAATAGTTACTATCTTTGATTTATGAAGAAGTAAAATAAGATATTTCAAATTTTAGAGTTAAATTTGATATTGAAGTCCAAATAGTAGCAAAACTACCAGACAAAGGATATGGAGACAATGAATTTAGTTATAGAGAAGTTTACTTCATGAATGACTTTGACGAATATGTAGGTGAAGATAATATAGACGATGTATTGAATAAAGCAGATGAAGAAATAAATGCCAACATAGAAGAAGACAAAGATAAAGATAGTATATTAGGAATACAAGCATTTCATTTTAGATAATAATTGTTGAAGATATTTACTACTAACATATTTCTATTAAAATCTATTTATTAGAATTATGGATTTGTAAGATCGGATTATTAAAGGTTAAGGGTTTATCTCTATTGTTGTCTGCCGTTTTGTGTTATATATTGTTCTTTGCTTGGTTTGTTTTTGTTTTTTGTTGTTATAGCAATTCTTGGAAAAGACATTTAAGAAGATAATCATATTTCTATGTATTGGATCAAATTTGTAGATACTGTGTTACAGACTCACCAATTGATCATTTTGAAGATGGATTGAAGACTTGTAAGAAATGCTTGGAATACAAGAGAAAGAACTATGACAACCATAAAGATAACGTGAATGAAACACGAAGAACTAAATATAAAGAACATGAAGAATATAGAAAAGAGAAACAGGAACAACTACAAAACTTTCGTGATAAAGATGCCTTTTGTAATTGTAATTCATCAATGAAGGCGCACTGTTATTCAAGACATTTAAAAACAGAGAAGCATAAAAGGAATTTAGGAACGGTTGATGGATATGATTTTGTAAAATGAATAAGGTAATAATGCTTTTGACTGCTATGGTTTTCACGAAAGCTAGCTGTAGCTAGCTGGAGTCTGTCTTGCTTTAGCAAGGAGGGTGGGAGCTGAGGACCTGAGTGCTATTACCTGATATATCAGGACTACCCCCCCCTCGCGCAGTTCAACTCCACCCTTCTCCTCCTCGGTACCTGCTGTTGCTTGGTCGCTGGGTCGCTGCTGCTGCTGGCATCTAATTTGCGCCTGGCTCTTGGCTGCTTGCTGGTTGCTGCTGCTTGCTGCTTACATGCTTGGTGCTGCTGGATGCTCTTGGCTGCTTGCTGGTTGCTGCTGCTTGCTGCTTGCATGCTTGCTGCTGCTGGATGCTGGCTGCCTGCTGCTTGTTGTCTGCTCGGTTTTGCTGCTGTCGCTGTTTGGGGTTGTTGGCTGCTGTTGGTGCTGAAGAAAGCCTATTCATTAGAATCGAGAGTAGTTGCATTCCCTCTGAGTCGTGAAACGATGCTAATTTCATTATATCCTTAAGAAGCTTGTACAGGCATGTACCCACCCCACAACCCCCAAGAGTACAAATCAGAATGCACTATCCGCTATCCATGCAGATCAAAAGATGATACTGATACTTACTACACACATGAATGACAGAACCCAGTAAGATGTTTGAACGGGCTGTTTGCTTCACTCATGGTAGTCCGCGTTCCATGTTCGAGCGACAGGGAGCATGCACAAGCGTTGCGACGGAGTCTTCGTTCGCTGACGCATGTTCGCGTGCAACCCCTAGATGTCAATCATGCACACCGCTGCTGGCTGCATCGTCAGCATTTATTCGTGGAACAAACAGATATATCAGATATATATGTCTTTCCGCGTCGCCCTTCTACAATTACTCAGGCAGCACCTATATGTGCTATTGTTCGAGACCAAATGTTGGGGCCCGAAAGACTCTAAGGAAAGCTCACTCTTTCCCTGCTGCTGCTGCTGCTTGGTAGCTGGTGGTGCTGCTTGGTAGCTGCTGCTGCTGCTGCTGCTGCTTGGTAGCTGCTACTGATGCTGCTGCTGCTTGGTAGCTGCTGCTGCTGCTGCTGCTGCTTGGTAGCTGATGCTGCTGTTGCTTGGTAGCAGCCAGCGTCCAGCAGCAGCAAGCGCGCAAGCAGCAAGCAGCAGCAACCAGCAAGCAGCCAAGAGCATCCAGCAGCACCAAGCATGCAAGCAGCAAGCAGCAGCAACCAGCAAGCAGCCAAGAGCCAGGCGCAGATGAGATGCCAGCAGCAGCAGCAGCAGCAGCAGGCACCGAGGAGGAGAAGGGTGGAGTTGAACCCCGCGTGGGGGGGGGTCTAGTCCTGATATATCAGGTAACAGCACTCAGGTCATGGGCTCCCACCCTCCTTGCTAAAGCAAGACAGACTCCAGCTAGCTACAGCTAGCTTTCGTGACATGGCAACACACAACCACCCCAGCAACCGCAGCAGCAGCAGCAGCATCAGCAACAGCCACAACAACAATAACTCTAACCAGCAGCGGCAGCGGCAGCAAGCAGAAGCCACCAAGCAGCAGCAGAAGCAGCAGCAGTAGCTAGCAAGCAGCAGCGCCAGCTACCAAGCAGCAGCAGCAGCAGGAGCAGCTACCAAGCAGCAGCAGCAGCAGCTACCAAGCAGCAGCAGCAGCAGAAGCTGCTAAGCAGCAGCAGCTACCAAGCAGCAGCAGAAACAGCTACCAAGCAACAGCAGCAGCAGCTACCAAGCAGCAGCAGCAACAGCAGCAGCAGCCGCCTGCTGCTTGTTGTCTGCTCCGTTTTGCTGCTGTTGCTGTTTGGGGTTGTTGGCTGCTGTTGGCGCTCAAGAAAGCCTATTCGTTGGAATGCAGAGTAGTTGCATTCCCTCTGAGTCGTGAAACGATGGTAATTTCATTATATCCTTAAGAAGCTTGTACAGGCATGTACCCACCCCACAACCCCCAAGAGTACAAATCAGAATGCACTATCCGCTATCCATGCAGATCAAAAGATGATACTGATACTTACTACACACATGAATGACAGAACCCCTGCTGCTGCTGCTGCTGCTTGGTAGCTGATGCTGCTGTTCTGCTGCTGCTGCTGCTGTTGCTTGGTAGCTGCTGCTGCTGTTGCTTGGTAGCTGTTGCTGCTGCTGCTGCTGCTTAGCAGCTGCAGCTGCTGCTGCTGCTTGGTAGCTGCTGCTGCTGCTGCTGCTGCTTGGTAGCTGCTCCTGCTGCTGCTGCTGCTGCTTGGTAGCTGGTGCTGCTGCTTGCTAGCTACTCCTGCTGCTGCTTCTGCTCTGCTTGCAGCCGCTGCCGCTGCTGCGGTTGCTGGGGTGGTTGTGTGTTGCCATGTGTTGGCGGTGTTGGGGTCGTATTGGGGGGCGCTGTTGGCACTCTCCTTTTCCCTTGGCCATGGCATGTTGTGATTCCTGGCGAGGCTTTTGCTGCCTAAAGAGCCCCAGCATTGTTTCTTTGCCTAGCTTTTGCCACCCCCCTCTGGGCCACAAGTTAAACATGAATGAGGTAAGTATGCTTTGACTGCTATGGTTTTTGAAAAATTGAATGATGTAATTGTGTTTTGACTGCTATGATTTTGAAAATGAATGAGGTAAGTATGCTTTGACTGCTATGATTTTGAAAAATTGAATGAGGTAATTATGTTTTGATATTGTTGAGAAAAAGCAGCAATCAACAATATTTAACTGACTTTTTGGACTGTTATGTTGTTTTGAATAGGTTTTGATTTGTTATACTGCCATGATATTAGTTTAGACAACTTCACTCAATCAACTTGTTTTACATTTTTTGGGGAGGGTGGTCGCGAGGCGGCCAATTTCGGAGAAGTGAACCCAGAGCCCGGTGGGGGAGAGTGAAAGAACTTGCCACTTGGTAGTGAAAATGAGTAGTTTTGGGGGGTGTTGTGATGCCGGTGATGTAATTGACGGCCAGGTAGTGCATCATTAGCATCACGAGGGGCCCAGGAGGCAATGTAAACCGTTTTCTACCAGGGGTGGGAGTTCATGTCAATGGTAGGAAAGAGGGGACAACGGGACGCGAAAAGTGGTTGGAACTCTTCCAGAAAAGGGAGATGCACGCCTTTCATGGCTAGTGAAATAGTGTGAAGGGGAGGTGTGTGTCTCTCAAGACATTGTGTGATCTGTGAGGAGCCAGAATGCTGTGGGGAAGGTGGAAGACAGGCATAGCGTAGGAGGACGTGGCAAGAAAAGAGTGTTTGCAAGAAATGTTAGAGATGCTGGGGGTGCCCTTTTTAATGGCAAAGACGCCTGTCAACTATACGCAAAAGGGCACCCCATATGGGGCGCGAGTTCATGTGGACGAGACAGCCTTGGTGGAGGAGGACGTGATAGGAAAAGAGGGATTGCAAGAAACGGTGTGACCCATTCATTGAGAGCAGGGAGGGAACAGAATGCAGCGGGCAAACTTTGAGTTGCTTGGGGGTGCCCTTTTTTATGGTGAAGAGGACTGTTGACCAGACTGGGCACAGAGGCGGGGAGCTCACCAGGGCTCTCGCATTCACCCCCATATCCATAATGATATGTTTTACGGTGGCTGGCTTTCGTCCACTCCCTTTTCCAGGTATGTAGAATTGCTATTTGTTGGTTTTTTGCACAATGGTTTTCCAGTTTTTTCTTCGATTCTCTCAGGGCAGAATACAACCACCCTGCGCCAGCGGCTTCAGCTCTGCTCGTGGTCAGGTCTTCGCATCGCGGCCAGATGCCCTTCCGGAGGCGTACCAGAAGGAGTCCAGAGCGAAGACTTCGTTTGTTGGCCACGAGTCTGGTATATTATAGCAAAACGTTGGAAGAACATCTCAGCAAGGCAGCGCCCAAGGGTCCTTAAGTATCCTGCTCATTTCACATCATAGAAACCATTTCACGAAAGGTAGCCCCTAAGGGGATACCTTGAGTTTGTGTTGCGAAGCAAGTGTCGGCGCGTCCGGGTCTAATAATTGATAGTTCAATTCAACCCCCCCCCTTTGAATTGATTTCTCAATACAGGCCCCCCCCCCGGGGAATTGATTTTTCAATACCGACCCCCCCCTCTAAATTCAATTCTCTCCTGGAGAACGTCTTCGTGAGCCTCTCATGATTTCAGGATAGTTGAAACCCTCTTGAACATTCAGAGTGCATATGAAATTCTAATCACGAAAGGTGTTCCGCGAGCGGATACATACCTAGAGTTTGTTTTGTGAAGCACGTCAATTCTCTCCTGAGGAACGTCTTCGTGAGCCTCTTATGGTTTCAGGATAGTTCAAATCCTATGATGCTCCGATTCAATGCTCACCGATGATCTGAGCCATGGGGCAAGTTTGTTTACCTAAGAATCTTTTTGAACATTTCGAGAGCATATGTTTGAACATTTAGAGTGCATATGAAATTATATTTACGAAAGGTCGCCTCCGAGGGGATAAATACCTAGAGTTTGTTTTGTGAAGCAAGTGTGGGTGCTTCCGGGTCGGAGTGATTTCTCCCTAGAGCTTTGGAAGTCATTGTTCCATCTGGCTGCAAGCTGGCATCGCTGCCTCAGAGTTTTTGTTCCTGCCTCTCGCGTTCTCTGAGCTTCCCGCTGTCCTACCTTTCGTGTCTCCCTCCTCTCAAGTGCAAACACATGCAAAAACCACTTTCCCGGGGAACCCCAAGCTTCCCATCCCCCGAGGACATGACTATTCCCCGATGTCAACAGCTCACTTCGACCCTTGAGGAGTTTGAAGGTTTGCTAGAACGAGTGCGACCTTTCAACAAAGATGAGGCTCGTTCTCTGAAGGAAAGGGCACAAAATGCAGTGAGCTGCCGAACGCGCTCAGCACGGTTGAACTTCTCCGGAATTCCTCCTTGGGAAAGGCACACCTGGCATTGCAGACTATCTATCTGAATCTATTTGACTGTTCTGATTCAGCCCCAAAAAGTTTTCCGTTCTGAAGATCTCCTCATCGCTCTGGCTTTTGAGGCGATGGAGACTTTGACCCGGAATTTGGGTGATGTGGAACGCCTCTTCGACGACATGGCCGCCTTCAACGAGCCGGTGCCCATGGGTTTTTTGAAACATCGCAGTCTTACGAAGCCAAAGGAAGAAATGAAAAGAGAAGCGAACTGAAGAACGGGAGAGGAAAATAACAAAAGGAACGATGGGAAAGGAAGTGTCATAAACACAACAACATCCGCTTCTTAGTTGAGCAGTTCACTCCAGAATGAGCAAAGCTATCGACGCTGTGTCATTTGGACCTTATCTTATCAATGTGACTAACTGGTCTCAAAGGATGTGGAGCTGGATGTTCTTTCGCCACATTCTCGACACGCTGAGCCAATCAGGAATTCATTGAGGAACTCCCAAGGCCATTCACTTGCATTTGCCACTACTAGGAGCAAGGACGCTACTAGGGGCTCCTGGCCTTACTACTA